CCCCCCCCACACCAAATTAACCCCTGACTAACCCTACCCCACCCCCTGCACCCGGCCATGGGAAGTACGCAAGACATGACCCTGATCATCAGACCTAACCATAGATTAAGTACTCCAACAGCCCTCCCAAAGCCTGCTACCAGCATATTACAACCATGGACTATGCCCCTTGGGTGGCGCACAGGCAGCATCTGTAATCCTTGCCATGCGTCAGCCCAAGGGCGGTGTGCGAATGGCCGTGCGTTGGTCAACGCCCGCCGCTGTCCATGCGCGAGGGCGCAGAGTTTGAAACCCCCAACCCTCAGACCACAAAGCGCATTTCCAACCGGTGCTCCACCCACTGAGCTACCGTCCATCCATACATTTCTCTTTTGCCTTTTTTTTTTTTGTTTTTCCTTGACAGGGAACAAGTTCTGGACTCCGTGAAACAGCATGTTCTGCAATAGCAGCCGTGCAGGTGAGGGGAAACAAAAAAGAAAAAGGAGGCCGGTCACAATGCTATGGGATACTGACTGCGCTTGTCGTCTCAATGTCAACACGAAGTCGCTCCGTCTGGAAAAGTCAAAGAGAGATGCAGATCAACAAGAGAACACCAATTTCAGCATCCATAAAACAGAAGCCCCAAAAAGAAAAAAGGGATTTGAAGTTTGAACGTTGAGGAGGACACGAAAGTACTTCACCAACCGCATATATAGCACCACGGCCAACTCACATTGTACTGTACCCAGAAAATATAGTACCAGAGCCAACTCACATAGTTCTGCACCAGCCCACATAGTACTGCACCCAGCCCACATAGAACCACAGCAACCCGCATAGCCGAAATATAAGAACCTGCCCCACATAGCACACTGCACAGATAGCACCCGACCGGCATAGTAGCACTAAGCGCACTTGTTACCACTCACCACACATAGCGGCAAGCTCGCACTACATAGCAGCCAGTTCCACTTAGCAGCCCGTTCCACATAGCACCCAGCGCATGCAGAACTGCAGCAACCCGCATACCCCAAATATTAGAACCTGCCCCACATAGCACACGGCACAGATAGCACCCGACTGGCATAGTAGCACTAAGCACACGTGTCACCACCCACCACACATAACGGCAAGCTCACTCTACATAGCAGCCAGTTCCACATAGCAGCCAGGGCATGCAGAACTACAGCAACCCGCATAACCGAAACATTAGAACCTGCCCCACATAGCACACGGCACAGATAGCACCCGACCGGCATAGTAGCACTAAGCACACATGTTACCACCCACCACACATAGCGGCAAGCTCGCTCTACATAGCAGCCAGTTCCACATAGCACCCAGCGCATGCAGAACTGCAGCAACCCGCATAGCCGAAATATTAGAACATGCCCCATATAGCACCCTGCACAAATAGCACCCCGACCTGCAGAGCATCACTTAGCACATGTGGTAGCACCCACCACACATAGCGGCAAGCTCGCTCTACATAGCATCCAGTTTCACAAAGCGGCCAGTTCGACATAGCACCCAGTTCCACATGGCAGCCAGCTCCGCATAGCAAGTGCACAGAAGCTAGACATAGGTTTGCCCCTCCGTTCTCTCCTAGGTTCTGAGGCCTGAACCCAACGGCCTGCTGTGTCAACATTGCTCCATACATTTCAATCGGGCCATATGTTTCAACGACGACATACATTCCAATGGCGACATATGTTTCACCATCATTTGAAACGTATGTCGCCACGTAGCAATGACGGGCCAGATCCATTCTCTCCTGCGTATACTGAGAATTTTCAATTTTTCTTTTCTCTTCTCTTTTCTCCAAAGGGTGACCGCCTTGAGACATCACCATCAAACTGACCGCCCCTAGATAATTGCGAATTGTCGTAATTATTCTACTCATAATCTGCTTCCGGTGGAGTTTGAACTCAGGTCTGCATTTTAACAGTTCAGGGTTGTACCAACTGAGCTAGGCCAGTTTGTGCATATATTGAGATTTTCTTTTTCTCAAGAATTTTGAATTTTGAAATTTCCCTTTTCCCCCTCCAGTGGCTACACATGTTTCGCCATTTGAGTCTGAGGTTAGGTTGAAGGATGGATGTGAAGTTGCAGACTGGCAGGCAGGCAAGTCCACAACAACAAGGACGGCGTCATAGAGACATCGGAGAATCTTTGGGGATAGGACTGCCCTATGCTTCTAGTGGGGTTACACATTACAGCGCACTCATCCCGCGCGGCATTTTATATCACGGTATACAACAACAGCCATAAGACCAGACATGAGCTCTTCTAGTGCACCCACTCTTTCTCGTGGGCCCTAACCATTCTGGCGCCCACATCCTCCGCCGGAAAGGGTGGTAGGCTCTTCCCACCAGAAGAGTCAGACTCTTCCCCTATCTAGTGGGTACACCCAGTGAGATATTAAAGACTTCCCTACTCTTTTAGTAGCCCTGCCCATTTCGTCCCCGACATCCCACGCATCACTACATGTCATCCATTTCGTTCGCCGACTGTTCTCACCTGAAAAAGCTCCGGCGCAACGACGTATGCAACTGCACATGGGTCATGAAGCGGCGGATCCTCAAAATTGAAAACTGTCTGGTAAGTCTGCTGGAAGAAGAGCATAAGCTGGCAAACTGCATAAACAACATACAAAATGAGGACAGGCAGAACAGAGCTCAGCAAACTCCTTTTTTTTTTTCGTCTGAAGGTATCGGGACTCGAGCTTGAGTCTGCATTTTAACAGTTCAGGGCTGTCTGCATTCGAACTTGAGTCTGCAATTTGGAAGCTCAGGGGTGTACCAACTGAGCTACCGTCTTCACCTGAATAGAACGCCCGGTCATTATAGCCGTATTTGGGGCAACTTTCCATCCTGATGCAGCCATTATGACCGGGCGTTCTATTTGGGTGAACACGGTAGGCCGGTTGGTGCAAAGCTCAGCAAACTTGTGCAATGAATTGCAGTGGCATGCGAGCTGTACACTAACCTTGTTTGATGTTGCCTGGTTTTGAGTCCTTCGGGATTTGATCCCGCAACCTGTTTGTTTGCTTGTTTGCTTGTTGGCTGTGTTTGCCTGTTTATTTTGAGCCTTGTTGGACTCGATCCCTAGACCTGTCAGCAKCAATCTCTGTTGGCTGGTCATAGACCCTTCGGGCTGTTTTGGGTTGTTTCAGTAGGAGGARCGTAGGCCTCTCCCCCTCTGGTGCTGTTTTCTGTCTAGATTCAGTCGTAGGCTGTAGATGCAAAACTAAGCTGTAGGCTGTCGGGTCTGGGAGGCTGGAGAGGAACAAAAGTACCGAGGGCAAAGTTTTAGGGGTTCGGTTCGTCATTTTTTTTTTCCACGAAGTGCTGCTGGAGGTCTCTGCTGAAGCTGCGTTAATTTCAAGTGCTGCTCCTCCCTTCTCGTTGAAGGGAAGCTGACAGCCATAGCTGGGTTTACCTGGCTTGTGTGGAATTGGCCCCGGGGCATCAGGCCCTGCTTTGTGAGATGCTTCCTCCACCGCTGTTCTGTTGGGGTTTTGACAGCTGCCATCGAAGCAGCTTTTCCATGCCTGCTTCGAAGTGGCAGGTCACCATCTTCATCGAGCTGTTGTGCTTCTTCTTCGTCTAGGGAGCTTCCCTCCTTTGCTGATCGGACACGTCATCTGCAGTGGGC